TTGATCCAAATTAGAATATTAAATTCGGGCCCTATATTACCTCATGTAATAACATAATAAATAACTTCGAATCCCTAGCTTGATTGAACTATTTATAAGTTGTTTTGAAGTGTAGAGAATAAATTTGATGTGTTTTTCGCTGCTGCTGTGATACAGCTTTACGAAGGACATAGCAAAATCGTTAACTGATGTTACGAACTTCTTTTTGTGCCAAGTCTACAGTGTTAATGGACTTGCCCAACTAAGAACGCGTGACTTGCATTTCGTATACACCCAATAGATTGTGTCGCATCTTCTGGACATCTAATCTACCAGACAGTTGTTTATTTTGAGTTTTCAGTTTTCCTAAGTATGAGATTATTTAAAGAAACGAAAACGTTTTTTTTTTTACTTTCCATTTTAATTTCAGTAAGCTGTCATGCATGTTAAATATCTGTTTATATGGTGTGCAATTTAACAAAATTCAAAATATTTCATAGTATTAGATAAAAAAGTCATTTTAAATTTAAAAAAAGGTATGAATGCAGTATAAAGTACATTGCTCAAACTAAACGTAATATGAACTATCGTCTTAATGAACACGAAGATTTTGTACGTAATAAAAATATTCTAACTTCTCATCTTGAATGAGTACCCTGTTGAAACAAGTAATTCAATACAATGACATGAAACAATAATTTTAAATGAGCCTAATAATCAAAGTGTATTAAATATTAGAATCAATAGAAATTTAGTGCTGTAAATTAAATAAGTCTTTGCTAAATAGAGATGAAGGGATAACTGATGATAACGCACAGTTTTGGAAAGAAATATTGAATTCTTATGTATAACACTCATACCACATTCATAGATTAAAATGAGTTAAACCATTTCTCTATAAAACTCCCCGCTTTTTTTTACTCCTGATGATGGTAACGTAAAGCTACCGAAACATGTAGACACTTTTAATTTTGACCGTCGGCGAAATACAATTTTTATTGTCCTGTTTTTAATTTTATAATTTATTGCACTAGTTGTCTTGATTGTATTCCCAAACGGGTATTCACGTAATGTGTCCATTCTCCAACATCTTGCTGTTTTTTTATAACGCTGAATTAGTTCTCATTTCGTCGGTTTAAGTTCGATATTGTTATTATATGAAAAGCAGTTAAAACTCAACAGAATTCTGTTCACCACTCCTGACGTTTAAGTATTTCATGGGCCTCGGAGAACTGCGACTAAAGTTAATTACTCGAAATCTCGCACTGTTCTACAGCTCACGTGATACGTTTCGTCGTGTATTTAAGAATGCGTAGCTGAGCTGCAAGTGATTATATATATATGAATTTTGTTTAAACCGTTAATTATCACAATCCATAAGTCACAGTATCAGGCAGGCGGTAGTATTGCCTATGTAGGGATGGCTCGGATTGTTCATCAAAATGGTATTTTAAATATCTCTTCAACAGATCATTAGAACTTGACAGTACTATACAGTGTTTCCTTTTATAACAATATCTATGTAATGACTGACTCACAAGTTCTGGGAATTTCTCTAAGTATCATAGCAAAAAGTCTGAATTTCTTGTTCTGCCTCTTTTACATGATAACTCAAAAACCAAAACAATGGTGTCAACAGATTTCACTGACGTGACAGTTTCAAACGGAGTATCCGCTTTTATAAGTATTATTAATAACTAGTGGAAATAAGAAAAATCATAATTCTAGTTTAAACAATGTTATCATTACCCCTTGAAGTTAGTTTTCATACAGAAATTTGGTGTTCATTTAAAAAGCTTAAGTACAGGGTGAACAGGAATTACCAAACAATAATAGATAAACAAAAAATATTACAGTCCGAACCTCATTGTATTTAGAACTTTGTTATAAACACAACATCCCTATGTCCATTCAAATGCTGCATTAAAAAAACAAGTAAACATTTTTTCAAAAAATAAGTAAATGTTGGGATGGCTAATATCATTCCTTCAAAAACAATCCAAACAAGATAGTAGGGATGGCACTTGCATCATACCTACATAATAGCACAGGCAAGAATTAACATATATATATATAATCAATGACAATTGAGTTTAATTTATCCTGCTTTTGTCTATTAACATTCTACTGCACTGTTTGTCTGCTATTATGTAGGGATGATGCAAATATTATCCCTACTGTCTTGTTTGCGTTGTTTTTGAAGGGTTGATATTAACCATCTCTATATTCACTTCCTTTTTGATAAACTTTTTATTTACTTGTCTATCTTTCATCTCTCTCTCTCTCTCCCTTGAGTCACAGTCTTCAAAACTCTTTCTTTCGTGAATGAGATTCAGAGTTAAATGGTTTCCGCTGTTGTCTCGTTAACCCTAGGATTACCAAAGAGTCCATATGACCCCGAGGAATTATAAAATTATTTTTAAAGTGTCTAGACACCAAACTGCTTGGAATTAATTATTTTGTTGGTTATAGGATATACACAAACAATTCACACATACATACACACACACACACACACACACACAAAATAATAATAAAATACCACCAATATTGAAATTATTCCAACAAATTATTGCTGAACGCCCCATGTATTTTACATGTAAAATGAATGACTCTGTCCTCTTTTTTCTTCTTTTTTTTGCCAGTTCTCTAAACTAAATACTGTAACAGTGAAAAAAACCAACAAAAATGAACAGCATAGAAACAAGTCGGTATTGTGAGGGTTAACATTTATTATAACGGAGACTTAAGTATTTCGAGGGGAAATTTTTCATGAACTTTTACAAACCCTCATTATTTCTCACTGAAAGTTCACTCCTAGGATTGTAATTAAACTAGTAGAGACTCCCAAAACGCTTGCTATCAAGTTAGTATCTTTATTGCAACAGTATTTTTTTAAATACAAACGAAATGTAATCGTATACACCGAAATGTGTAAGTCCACTTGTATTTAGGTGATACCTTTATTCACCTGAACTGATGTTAGGATTAAACTATACTGTACTTAATACCATCGATAAATAAGCTTATAATGTTATTCTAGGACCTAACGTCAGACCTTTTTGAAAACTTCAAGCTTTTAATGTTAGTGTACTAAATGGTTAATAAAGAATATTTACATCCACCTTTTTTGTTATTCTTTCATTCGTAGAGCAGTGGCAGTGACTTGTTCGTTGAGCTTTCCAGCTCTCTGGCGCAGGCAGTCGCTTGCACTGTTTTTCTGGATAAAATTCTTACTGCGCATGATTATAAGGCTTGCTGACAGCAGAATTATAGTATGACAAGATTTCGGTGTCTGCAATTAGAATTATTTTGTATTCTAAAAATTCTGTATTTAAAGAAGTACTGATGCAATAAAGGCGCTAATCTGAGCGCAAATGTCTTGAGGGTTTCTGCTAGTCTGTTATAATAATACCCAGTTTCTGACTGTCTTGATAATATGTGCGTGCACCTTACTATCTAAATACGCATGCGCGCACACGTTATTTCCGTAGCAGACACACGAACAAGCGTATTATTACATAGATAATAGACACCGAAAACATAAACTTTTAAGGAACGTACGAGAAAGTCAAAGATTGTAAGTCAATACGAATTATTTTTATTTCAATGTAACCCTATAGTTACAGATCTGACCGAGACTATATCAGGTGTTCGTAGACGCATCTTGATGCCGTATTAGTGAAACAGACTTCATAAAGCCTGTCTGTATACCAGGGGTCTAAATAGGTGAATTCCGCTCAGAGTAGGGCACAAAACACCAGTGGATCATAGATATGTGTAGCAATACTCTTTATAAATGAGTAGCTTTTATCTCTACAGCCAGCTATGACACACATATGATTAATTGTAAAGAATATGTAAACGGATCCGGGGTCCGTCTTCATACAGTAACGTGATTGTATGGCGGTTGTGGAAGTATGAGGTGAACAGAAATAAGCATTGGTGGCATATATAATAGAAAAACTAGTGCCAGACATTCTAGGTTACTATATCCTACAACTCTTGGCGGTTGTGGAAGTATGAGGTGAACAGAAATAAGCATTGGTGAAATATATAATAGAAATACTAGTGCCAGACATTCTAGGTTACTATAGCCTACAACTCTTGGCGGTTGTGGAAGTATGAGGTGAACAGAAATAAGCATTGGTGAAATATATAATAGAAATACTAGTGCCAGACATTCTAGGTTACTATAGCCTACAACTCTTGGCGGTTGTGGAAGTATGAGGTGAACAGAAATAAGCATTGGTGAAATATATAATAGAAATACTAGTGCCAGACATTCTAGGTTACTATAGCCTACAACTCTTGGCGGTTGTGGAAGTATGAAGTGAACAGAAATAAGCATTGGTGAAATATATAATAGAAATACTAGTGCCAGACATTCTAGGTTACTATAGCCTACAACTCTTTCTGCTGCCATATATTTGTGGTTTGACTTCATCTTAGAGACTAACATCATGCCAAACCGGTTGGACACAAGAGAGGACTGTAGGGGCGGGCACACGTGGGGACACTTGCCCTTGAGAGACGTTTCTCTCTCTATCAAATGATACAAAATATGCCTTGAAAATAGCTGATTCGGAGAATGCGCTGGTTTTAATTAAACATGCAACGTCGGTGCTGGGCTGTTCTTGGTGAATGTACCCCATATTGAAGTGTAACGTGATGAACTGCGAAAATAAAAGTCAACTCGAATAAATGTTTATTTAACGAACGTAGGCTGAATGCACAATCATTTGTATTTCAGATCTCGAGACGGAAAGCCTAAGTTCCATAACAGTGAACTGACGAGGGTGACTGATATTATATATAAGAGTGTAGTATACCCAGTATGTTTCGCACTGTTTTAACTTTCATAAAAATAGAACTTGAGAAAGTTGAATAATAGCAATGTGTGTCATACCTTCAGAAGTATACTAATAAGTTAAGTGGATATTTTGCTGTTTTTAATTTCAGGTCTTGCGTTCAAAAGTATGCAAACATTTCGTTTTCTTTCTTTCTTTACTTTTCTCCAGGAAATGAAAGTGAACTGGGCAACTTCACCAGGAAACACACCTAAACAAGACACAAGCAGTAAGTATGTTAAATATATACAGATGTCACTTGATAAGTTGCAGTGAAAACACGATGTTTTGACATCATGTTCTTTTCGGTCAGTTCAGGACATTTTCATTATTCGTCTGTTCGTACCAGTATGTGAAGATATTATTTAGCGTCATGGTATAAATTTTGATTGTGTGTGTGTCTAGTTCAAGTAATAAGACAGGCAAGGACGTACTCACTATCCGTCTGTTTGTACGAGCGTGTGAAGATAGTGTTGAGTGTATGAAGTTTATGCTATGCAGTATTATACATTTTGATTTTTTGAGTGCTTCGTTAAGATAATTAAAATTCAAGAGAAACATTTATTGTATTGTATGAAAATAATGAAGCTCCTTTCTAAGATTGTAGTACCTAACCAACTGAGATGTAAAGGTGGGTGCTAGTCCCTTGTATTTTTTGTGAATTATAAAGTAATTTTACCCATTTTTTTTTCATTGACTTGAGAATATTTTCTCCTTAAAATAAGCTTAAATGTTTGTTTAAAAAATACTTGAATATTTTTAGTACAATGAACAAAAAATACGTTGTGTACAGTTGTACTGTATTATAAATTTTTGCAGTTTTTTGAGGTAGATGAAGTATTTGTGGTAATTAAGAGGAAAAAACTTACAGAATGAAAATGTATTTCATTACAGTAATATTCTTCAAAGTGGGAACAATTCACTTCACAATAAATTTGTCATGTTCAAAACTAATGAAATTACATTTTTCCCACCCAGATATATTTTGAGACAACATACAAATGCACATCTCAGAAATTCGTGTTGTGTTAGCTGTTGACTATTTGTGTCAGAACAGATAAAATATTAATCCAAAGCCAGGACTGTGAAAATGAAATAACTATGGTACATTTTCATATCACTATACTTCACTCGATAGTTTTGAAACATGGAAGTTTCTAAAAACTCACTTTTTCATTTTTCAAACGAAAGTTTTTAAGGTTTTAAACCGATGTTGTCATTCTGTTTCATATACACGTTCTTTAAAATATCAGAGGTTTCTCGATTGTGAATCAGTTTATTATATCTGGTTATAGTTAAATGTCAAGAAAGGATTATTAAACAGTTAATATTGAAACCGGACTACTTTTAAATAAGTATTCATTTTGTAGCAGATTAAGCAGTATATAAGTGTTTGGACAAATGGGTTGAGTTTCAACGTATACACGTCTGACGGATCATGTGATCGATGTTCCTAAATAGCAAGTGAAGAGATAGACGACTAATTATCCGTCAAGTTAAACCTTCAGATTAAAATGTAGATGTACATATTAAAGAAGGTAGGGAAATAGCAGCATAGAACGTGAAGTACTGATCCTCGTCGTTGATATGAGCAGGAGGCGACTATAAACCAGGGTCTTTTGCGAATTGATAGCAGTGAAAATTAAAATGAGAAAGAAAAATTGAACAAAAAAAAATGAAATGAATTTGTAAATTAAGATACAAGAAATTAGAATTCAAAACAACAAGAACATAATCCAAACTTTCAAAAGAAACTAACACAGCAATGAAACTTGGTGACAAGACGTATATGATTGACGAAGCAATGACTATTACAAAAATAAAGATTCATATATCTACATTTTCCGAAATCGCTTAGAATTAACAGAAAAGATTCAACGAACTTCCATAAATTTAAAGGTTAAATGTAGGGCAAACAGGAAAAAACATCAGATTTACATACATTGATATGTTATTAACACTGAAGTGTGAAAAGTTGTTATCATTGTTTCTCCTTAGAATTAATTATGTAAAAATATTTGTTCCATCAGAAATAGCAATTTACAAACCAAATAGAATAACTAAACCATTCTCATGCTTACAAACAAAAACGTACATTTACTATCCATTACGTACTATCATAATTACGCCAAGGTAAAAATTAACTAACTCGTATAGCCAGTTGACAGGATGTAAAAAAACATTAACTCGCTTAAACACCTAATGGATATAAGGTGAAAATGAAGTCGTTCTAACAAATAGTGGATGTATGGTGTACAATTTACTCTCTCTAACAGCTAGAGGATATAGGGTATAACATTAACTCACTATCAACTAGCAGATAAAAGGTGTAAACTCAACTCAGTATAACAACTAGCGAATGTAGGATATAAAATGAACTTACTTCCTATATCCGGTAGCTGTTAGAGTGAATTAATTTTACACCATATATCTGATAGTTGTTAGAGTAAGTTGACTGTATTTTCACCTTATGTCCATTAGTTGTTAAAATAGGTTAATTTCACACTATAGATCCACTATTTGTTAGAGTGAGTTGATTTTACATCCTATATCCGGTAGCTGTTAGAGTAAGTTGACTGTACTTCCTTTATCCGATAGATGTTATTGTAAAATCAACTCACTCTAACAAATAGTGGATGTATAGTGTGAAATTAACCTATTTTAACAACTAATGGACATAAAGTGAAAATGAAGACTCTCTAACAAACAATGGATGTAAGGTGTAAAATTCTCTTTAACAGCTAGAGGATATAATGTGTAAAATAAACTTACTCTAACAAACAGTGGATATAGAGTGTGAAATGAACTCACTATAACAACTAGTAGATACAGAGTGTAGAGGCCCGGTATGGGCAGGTGGTTAGGGCGCTCGACTCGCAATCTGAGGGTCGCGGATTCGAATTCTCGTCTCACCAAACATGCTCGCCCTTTCAGCCGTAGGGGCGTTATATTGTGAAGGCCAATCCCACTGTTCGTTGGTAAAAGAGTAGCCCAAGAGCTGGCAGTGGGTGGTGATGACTAAGCTGCCTTCCCTCTAGTCTTACACTGCTAAATTAGCGCAGATAGCCCTCGTGTAGCTTTGCGCGAAATTCAAAACAAACCAAACCAAAGTGTAAAATCAACTCACTTTAACAAATAGTGATTATAGGGCGTAAAATGAACTCGTCCTAACAACTAGTGTGCTCGTGTTCACTGTATAAAACTACTTGTTACTATGTCATCAGATAAGGTTTTTATAAAAACATGGTATCTTAGACACCAGTCAATACAAGCTGTTGTGGCACTTAGATATGGGAGGTAAGGGAATTTAATTCTTTATTTATCTGTAATACCGTGCAGGAGGGGTTTTAAGGAGTAAAACCTTTGGTCTACATGGAATATTATTCAGTTAATAACGTATTTGCATCCCCTTTACAACAAATGTGGTCATGATTTAATCTGAAGAACTTTTGTTTATTTGTAAATTTTTCTTTTCTCCATTAAAACGTGTAAGGTCAGTGAAAAAAGAAAAGTGTGAAAGACATGAAACCGAATATTTTCTTTGATCTGATACTCCCTCTGCAGTAGACTGTAGTTATTTCACTGAATCACGGCTTCTCAGTACTGCTTGGGAGGGCGAACCAACAAAATACAGTTAAGCCTACAAAATTGTGTTTATACTGTTATCTCTAAATGTGTTTTTATATTGGTAAAGTTGTCTCAATTTGTCGATCACGAAACAATAAGTAAGTCAAAAGTTCCAATGTGTTTTGAATTACACAGAGGTTTTCATTCTCACATTAAAACTACCCCATGAAGGCTTTTAACAACACCTTTGTTGATTTCAGGGTTTTAAATTTTCAGCTTAACAGAATCCCGTGAAGGTTTTTAGCAATACCTGTGTTGGTGTCAAGGCTTTCCAATTCTAGACTTGTAAAAAAAATTACAATAGAAGATGCGGCTGAAAACGTAATATCTCTTCTTCTTTCCTTATTTTTTATGAGATTAAATCATTTGGCAGTTGTACTGAAAGACTACGAGTTGCCTTGGTAAGTTGGTGATTGAGTGAGAAGAATCAATTAGAGCTCAGCTACAAGCTGTATTTTCACCTAGATCAGCCATTTATGTTCGATTCAGTTTACCGCTCGTTGTTCTGTAGTGACTGAATGACTTACACTGACATTTATCGTGAGTTTGAAGGCCACTGGATATCCAGCCTGTGCAACTAATTTCGCTGAGCGGAACGTCGGTGAATTGGATTGGTTAGCTCATCTTCAAATGAAATCTAATCGACAAGAAAAAGAGTTGGGAGTGTTTTTATGTTTGTGAACCAGTGACCGCTTATTTTTCTAATCGCCAACTGTTTTTTGTCTGAACAATCGAAAAACACTTAACTGATATTCCAGAAACTTACAAAGCTAAGTTGATAAGAGATACTTACGATTATTATAAGTTTTATTTTAACACCTAGTCTGCGAGTCAGGGTGACATGTTCAGTGGGTTGCTTCCTTAAAAAAATTTCTGGTACTCCCTCTTAAAAAATGAAAATAAAATCTGAATAGAGATTTGAATTCCTTGCGATATCTAGAATCTGAATTGTTCGCCAGCATGACCGAATTCACACTAGTTTCTAGGCTTTAGTAGAGTAATAAACCCACACACAAATCCAAAATCCCACACAAAACACGTTAGGGGCCGCACATGTTGGGCAATACAAGATCTGGTTCCTCGGCCGTTTTATCCGCGGTTTTCGGGTTTTCTATCGATAGAGGTCGCTGAGGAAGACTCAACGAAGTGCGGTACATGCCTGAACATGACCACTTCTGCTATTTTGTGCGAGAGGAAGAGAACCCGGCCAACCCTCCGAACTCAGCATTTTCGTGGCTAAACACTATTTAGTGGTGAGCTCTTTTGACTGTAGTTTTTGAGGTTAAAAAATTGAGTACATTATCAGAGTATATTTTCTAATTCTAACCAGAATACCGAAAACTGTGGCACTGCCTCTAGACCACCATTTCGCCGTATTCAGCCTCATTGTCTCATAGACTGGGTGTCGTGTGTGGAATAAACCAGGAATCTTGTTATCTCTTGTCTGCAGTTCCATTTCCTCGTTATAACAAAAACAGTAGATGTTTCTCTTATATCCTGATTTAATACTAACATACTGGGAAATTTTAATCGAAAATGAATTGAGTTTTGCTTGTTATTATTTGCTTCTGCTGTATTGCTCTTGAATGAAGGCTATTTTAC